AGCAGGAGGATAGCTTAAACCCAAGGTTGCAGTGAACTATGATGATACCACTGCACTTCAGCCCAAGTGACAGAACAAGACCTTGTCTAAAAAGAAAGAAATGATTTCTTATCATTGAATAACCTATTACAATTACTCATACAAATGAGCAAAACAACAGAAGTGTGTTACAAATTTTGGTAACATTTAACTTATAAGTAAAATATTACTAGAGACGTGATTCATCGATATCTTGATTTAAAAGAGCCTTCATGGGCACTGCTGTTTTTAAATCTCCTTTTAAAAATTTGGCTTCTAGAAGTTTTCGTGTCCTGGCAGTGCACCCTGTGGTGAGATTTGGGACAGCTGAGGGTTATTGTGATTGTGGAAGAGAGAGTGTGGAAGAGGCAGGACAGCTCACATGGGAAGCTGGTATTTGGAAACTGATTTTTTGTAAAACCTTTTCACTTGCTTCTCAGTCTTTGGGCCCCCTGGTCACACCTGTCCAGCTTTACAGACCACTGACCTCTAGCTGACCTCGCAAACATTGTCTTCACTTCTAGAAAGGCCATGCTACTAAAAGAGAGAGACTAGAATATAAAATGCCCAATTTATCATCTGGGCGCTCTAACTTAATTTTGTCCTCATTCTTTATAGCCTCTCCTTTTTAATTCTTTAGTCTACTTTCCTTTATGCAAATGGAATCAGTCATTAAAACACTTGGTTTCCTCTGAAAAACCAAAACTAATAGTTGCTTCTCAACCATTTTTGTGATCTTAGGATGCGATTAAATGCTAACTTTAGGTTTAATAGCTTAGCAAAAATAGCAAGGCCATCTGCCTCACGTATGTGTTTCAGCCACAGGTTAAGATTCCCTAGAGGTCTCCTGAGTGCGAAAGAGAACTGAGCCAGAGACCCTGGAACTGCCTACTGTGTGGGCCTGTGGGGAGTATGCTGGTTACTGTGCCTTACATGTTATTCTAGTCACATGACTTCCTTTAGCTTGCAAAAACCCTGTGGGGTCAACATTATTACTATTATTATTATAGTTTACAAAACCCAAGCAACCATGAATGCATTACTATTAAACTATGCCACCTGGGCATGGTGACTCACGCTTGTAATCCTAGTACTGTGGGAGGCTGAGGCAGGTGGATTGCCCTGAGTTCAGGAGTTCAAGAGCCAAGACCCCATCTCTGAAAAAAAAATAGCTGGACTTTGTGGTGGGCTCCTATAGTCCCTGCTACTTGGGGTACTGAGGCAAGAGAATCACTTGTGCCCAGGAGACTGAATTTGCTGGGAACTATGATACCATAGCACTCTTTGAGGGTGACAACATGAGACTCTGTCTCAAAAATAAACTATGCCATAGAGCATTATTTTCACTTAGAATTTTGTATTTAGGACTCCAGACAGGTTTTTATTGTCATTGTTCTACATACATAAGAGAAAATAGAAATATGGCTTGGTGTTTTTAGCTCAGTGGCTGGGGCGCCAGGCACATACACCAGAACTGGCGGGTTTGAATCCACCCCTGGGCCTGCCAAACAACGACAACTACAACCAAAAAAAAAATAACCAGGCATGTGGTGGGTGCCTGTAGTTCCAGCTACTTGGGAGGCTGAGGCAAGAGAATCACTTAAGCCCAAGAGTTAGAGGTTTCTGTGAGCTGTGACACCAGAGTACTCTGCTGAGGGTGACACAGTGAGACTCTGTCTCAAACAAAAAAAAGGAGATCAGCATCCTATGAGACAATAATAGTGTATTAATGGGCAACATACACTCTAGCTCCAAAAAAAAGAGAAAATACAAATAAAATGAATGGGTTAAGATATTATAAAAGTATAAAAAGTATTTTACTTTGAGAATCTAGCATTAATTAATCATTTTCAAGTTCACAGTCGTCACAGTCCTAATTCACCAGGACAATCCAAAGGTTGGCGATTCAGCATTTCTTGAGAGTGTTTCACCATTGTTTTCAGGATTTTCTTAGAATCCCTGATTTCCATAAATTTTAATGCTGTTATATTTTGTCTTATCAGAGCATGTCTGTGGGAGGTTTTCAGGTAAGATCTTTAAATGGTTTATTGATTCAAAGTCAGGGGTTATAGTGGCCTCATCATGAATTCCCCTGGAATAAGTACCTGGAAACTGTTACCTAGCCAAGAGGCACTCCAGAGTCAGAAATGATAAAATGTGAAAGCAGTCTACATTTTAGAATCAAATAAAATACTAATCCTATTTATAGATGAAACAGGCTCAGAGAGGTTTAGTGATTTGACTAAGGTCACACAGCAAGTGAATACCATGCAGCCTCACTGCTCACCTTACCCACCTTTTTGAATAGTACAGGAGTCCACATAAGGATAGCTACCCTCTTTTTTTTTTTCCTTCAACCCTTGTCTTTTCTTCTCTGGCTCATTTTTCTTTCTAAAGACCTACGTTCTAGTAGTTGTAAAGCAATAAATTACTGCTGAAGAAACTCTTAAAGATTAGAGGAGAGGCTCGGCACCTGTGGCTCAAGCGGCTAAGGCGCCAGCCACATACACCTAAGGTGGCGGGTTCAAATCCCCAGCCCGGGCCTGCCAAACAACAATGATGGCTGCAACCAAAAAAAAAAAAAATGGCCAGGCGTTATGGCGGGTGCCTATAGTCCCAGCTACTTGGGAGGCTGAGGCAGGAGACTCGCTTGAGCCCAGGAATTGGAGGTTGCTATGAGCGTGATGCCATGGCACTCTACCCAGGGGGATAGCTTGAGGCTCCATCTCAAAAAAAAAAAAAAAAAAGATTAGAGGAGAGATGCATGCAGTTGAAATTTTCCCCCCTCTTTCATGTGCAGTTTTTGGCCAGGGCCAGGTTTGAACCTGCCACCTCTGGTATATGTGGCTGGCGCCCTACTCCTTGAGCCACAGGTGCTATCCCTGATGTGCTTTTTATGTCTAAACTTCTCTAGAAAAGAGACAGAAAGTGGGATGATACCTTTAGGACCACAGTGGGATACAATGAAAGCCCTGGGCCTGTTCTAAAATAGTCATTCTGCACTCATAAGTTTGCTTTCTGAAACCAGGTCTTCCTGTGTCAGAATATTGGTCCTGCCAAGAGGCAAGGCAGTGTTCTAGATCAAAATTGTCCAGAGAAACTTTTTGTGATGATGGAAATGTTAGCACCAATACTGTTCAATACAGTAACCATTAGTCATGTGTGGCTATTGTGCATTTGAGATATGGCTCACACAGCTGAGTTTTTGGTTTTTTGTGCTTTTTGAGACAAAATCTCACTATATTGCCCTTAGTAGAGCGCCATGACGTCACAGTTCACGGCAACCTCTAACTCTTGGGCTCAAGAGATTCTTTTGCCTCAGCCTCCCAAGTAGCTGTTACTATAGGCACCCAACACAATGCCCAGCTATTTTTAGAGACACTGTCTCACTCTGGCTCAGGCTGCTCTCTACCTGTGAGCTCAAGCAGTCCGCCCACAGCCTTCCAGAGAGCTAGGATTATAGGCATGAAGCACTTGTTCCTGGCCTCTGAGGAACTGAATTTTTAATTTAATTTAACTTCAGTTAAAATTTAGTTACGTAGAGCTGCTGGTGACTGGTACAGATCTGTATGACAGCTTAATACGACTTATCATGCGTAACAATCATAAAAATGGTTGTTAGAGGTACTCTTTTTTTATTCATGTTGTTCTATTATTCTGTATTCAAACTTATTTTTTAAACTTTCAGCCTTGTCTGATGAGTAATGGATTCTTGAGAATCTACTCAGATTTAAATATACATACTACTTGTTCAGAAATGAAAACTGGAAGCCCATGCTTTCCAAGCATTGTTTTTTGGGTTATAACTTTCTTCCTCTCATTGTTTCAAGGAAAATCAGCATTGGAATTACTTGATTCAGGATGCTCAGAAGCGTGGTGCCATTATTAAGACCTGTGACAAAAACTATAGACATGATGCAATGAAGATTCTGAAACTCAAACCTGTACTACAGAGAAGTCTGACTCACCCCCCCACCATAGTTCCAGAGGTGTCCAGACCCCAGGGCGGCTTGCCCAGCAACAAGCTAGACAGCGGATTTGCCAGAACATCTTATGCTGCTTCTCTGTACCACACACCCCCTGACGGTAGTGAATCTACTGTTACTTCAAAGGATCTTGAAAGGTCACCTGTTCAGGAGCTCCGAGATCCACGACTGCTTAGGAGGATGAATGCCGAAGCCAAAGGAAAATTCATCAGGAGTCCACAACCCTCGAGCCCCCAGCATCCTGGAGCAACACCTCCTGCGGAAGAGCCAGGCTTCCCGATCACTCACCAGGATCTGGAATGTGGTGTGCAGCAGTCCACTTCTAAAGCAGCCACTGTGAGCAACCACAAACCTCGTGTGCAGTGTGAATCTCCAGCTGCCAGTACTGATGCTGCGAATAATAAGAGAAAATACAGTGACCTGGAAGAGGGGCTCAGTCACAGGAGAGAGACCAGGGCTCCCAGTGAAGGGGAGCAGGAGAAGCAGGGTTCTGTGACTGATCACACCAAGAGGAACTCTAGCTGGGATAGGAGGAGACAGGAGAATGAGGACAGCAATTCTAAGAAAAGAAAACATACGTAGTAAAGCCAAATGACACAGACCGTCAGCCACAAGCATCATTGTAAACTTAGGAGGGCCAGCTGATGGGACATCTAGATAAGATTATTTTTTCCTTTAAGGAGTTTGTGTGCTGTTGGAAAACATGGAAAATGCCTCCTAGCGCCTGAGCCTATGGTCATCTTCAGGACTTAAGTCAGATGCAAAAGCTTTCAGAGGGCACTTGTGTGTCAGTAATAATGTCCTTGAAGCTAGAAACTCGAAATGTTGATTTCTTGTTCTTCTGTAGACAAGGAGGTCAGACTGGAGTGAATGTTATAAAAGTTCAAGTGTATATTTGTATAGCAAATAACAAAATCCTTTTAAAATTTAATCTAGTAGGCCACTTTTCTTTCCCGTTTAAAATGTTAAGTCATTTTTCAATAGAAAGAAACATACTTTTAAAAAGGCAGGAGGGGCTCTGGCTCAAAAAAAAAAAAAAAAAGGGCAGGAGGCGGGCAAGTCTTTTCACAACCATTGCATGACAAGACAGATTTCTTTTATAGCCTGGCTGAGTTAGTGCTAGACGTACTTAAAGGGAAAATAAAACTGGAGTCACCCAGGGGAAACTTTGAGAAGAACAGTTATGTTAGGAAAAGTTCTGCTGATGTACATTTTTAGTTGAGACACCTTGGCACAGGATATTACATTTCTGTGATGAGTTTATTTACCTATTTTAGTACATACATGGTTCCCTAGCTAAAATCCTTAACTCTTCTTAAGATAGAAGGATATGACCTGAAAGAATAAATCTTAAACTCTCACTCAAATGCCCCCAGCATGCCGTGACCTTTCTGTGACTGCCGAGTTACATCTAAATGAGTGCTGGGCTGGCTTCAGAAGATTCAGAGAAATCTTAACTAGTTTTCAGGAGAGCTTGGGAAGTTATGTGTTAAACGCTTAATTCCTAAGGGATCCTGATCACCAGGCATCTTGGGAACCACTGGGGCAGGCCAAATAGAATATTTCTGGCAGGAAAGAAACACCCTTTCCCAACAATGGAAGGCAAAGAGGAATTTAGTGGGTAGATTTCCTGTGAACTTAGAAATCATTTAACTGATGAAAATACACTGTTGCTGTGGAATATCACTTGGGTGTTTTCAGCTACTGTTAGAAGTGATTGTGCTTTTGTGACAGAAATTTAGCCATGGGATAAGGAAGGGGTTGTCCTATTTTGTACAGTTTTCCAAATATCCACACAGAATGAACTTGAAGTAGCCTAAGCTTGTACTGTTGACAGCTGCAGTAACAAATGGAGTGAATAATGTGTAGCCCTTTAGCTAATTCAGGGCAGAAAATTCCCTGAAATGTACACTATTCATTCTCTGTCTTCTGCTTTTTAAGCAAAAAGTTTTGTGTTAGAAATTCTACGTAAGCAGGTTAAAAAAAAAAAGAGCTTTAACAAAACACCTTTTAGTTGCTAGAAGTTTGAATATTCCATTGTTTCATTCATTACTTGTGCCTCTCCCTTTGGTGTCCAGGCATCTGACCAATGATACTCAGGGAGCAGATGCCTTCTTAAGAGTGCTTTGTCCCCAGAGTCTTCTTGTTTGTGGGTGGAGAGGGTTTGTCCTTGGCCATGCAGTTTAAGAAAGCGCAGGATGGGGTAAGAAGTGAGCCCCACTTTGTCTGGGTCAGGCAAGAAATCTCACTATTACTTTAAATTTACTTTCCTGTTATCTTGGTGAAGTGCTCAGTTTAGCAGAGACTTGTAGTGGTGACTTAAGGAATCTAAAATTCTCTAAGCTTCTAAAGGTAGGCGTGACAAAAACAGTTGTCTGTCGTCAGAACCGCACCCTTACTGCTCATGTTAATATTAACATATGATTAAGAAAGGTTTTTCCCAAAATGCATACTCTGCTGCCACACACTGAATAGTACTTTTTCCAGCTAACTTGGGTGTCCCTTGGCTCGTAGTACACTAGGTCTGAACAAGGAGGAATTAGGAGAGCTGCACCATCCTGACAGGTGGGCCTGTGTCCCCCACAGCCTCTCCCAGCATAATGCAGTCTATCTGATGTTACCTTTGAAACTTTGTTACCACATTTGGTAAAAGTATTTGCAAGAAGCATCTCATGTGTACATTGTGGCCTTTCTCAATGTGGCTGTCGTAGCCTTGTTGAAGAGTAGTGAAAAGTATGGCTCTTTGCTTTGTCCTCACCATGGCATTAAAAGAAAGTGCCCTGTCTTCTTTCAATGTTAGTTATTTCGACATGAATATATACTACTTAAAAACTTGTTTTGCTTCTTTGTGTATAATCTGCCTCAAATTCATTGTACAGTTTGTTTAGTTATATGTTCTCATGGGTTATCGGGAGCAAATTTGATAAGTACATGTGAATAACTTCCTGTAAATGAATTTTGTAACAAAAATGTACTAAACTATTTTCCAAAATTAGTTGTGCAAATTAGCAATTTATTGCCATAGCTTTGACTATGCGATGAATTCATACCTGAGATTTGGCAAACAATAGCCCTGTTTTTGTTAAAACAGAGTAACTGCAGAATTAAAAGCAGAAACAAAACCAACATGGGTTAGAAGTTACATGTTATTGGATTAAGGTGCAAGGACTAACAGGTAGTCTGCCATTGGTTTTGCTTTATGCTAAAATTATTTGATAGGGGGTTGTGTAGTTCCTTTGTAAACATGTATAGTCCTGTCCACCCAGGAAGCTAAGGTGGGAAGATCCCTTGGGCCCAGGAGTTTGAGCTTACAGTGAGCTATGATGAGGCTACTGCACTCTGGCCTGGATGACAGAGTGAGACCCCCATTTCTCTATCCAGCCCAGCTCTCCTTGCTTCCCAGCTCCTTTTAGAACCTTCTGCATAAGATAATGAGTTACATCATGGCCATCTGTGGTGTTTGGTTTACACTGAAGTTTGGGCCAGTAGAAAGATGCTCACTGTCCCATAGGAATAAATGGATGGTAACCCATGAAAGGAGCTCCCAGAGGCACTGGTGGAGGGGCAGAGTATAAATGTCCAAGTCTCAGGGGTCATTGCCCACGGTTATGGACATAGAACACAGTTTATAAAAGCAATAACTTCAGGAAATGTAGTCAGACTTCCCCACACTTGGGCATGTTAAAAGGCACTTGGCCTCGGCCTCAGTGTGTAATTCTGTACCCAGAGTGTACACACACACACCATCACCCGCCGCCGCCCTTGGACTGCTTTGCTCATTTGTGATGCCTCACAAATAACCAGTGAGGGTGAAATGGCGTGTTTGGGAGTTGGGGGGAAGAATAAATTTGCCAAATGACCTGATGAGAGATGAATGCTATGTCATGGTCATTTGTGAAATTTGTTTCTGCTGCTGTAGCAATGATTTTTAAAGTCACCAGACAGCTTTTCTCCTGACCAATCCATCCCCGCAATCAGCCCCACCTCCTGGGTTTCACTATTCATTGTTTCAGGAATAAATAATTCAGGGAGGAAACTAGAATTCAGCTTCAGCTTAAATGGAATTTATAGTGTTGTACAGCACCACAAAGGCAGTTTCTGTACACAAGGGATCCCTTCCTAGCTCCTCGAAGACCTGAGTTATCACCCAGTCCTACCGTACAGAAGGTGCTTACCAAGTCAGGTGGCATAAATGATGTCCATAGATGGGATGTTGGAAGCCGCTGGATCAACCCTCAGTGCTGCTGTTGCTTATGGCTCGAGCTGCGTTCCACTGGAAGTGAGCTCTGGAATCACCTACCCTGTTTCCCCGAAAGTAAGACTTATTTTTTTCTCAAGAAGACACTAGGGCTTATTTTCAGGGGATGTCTTATTTTTATTAAGTATAATACAGCAATTCACATTTATTCAAATACAGTTAAGTCATCTGATTCTGGAACCTGACAAGGGGAGTCTACCTTGTTGGTGGGGCTGGCGCTAGTGATGCGTGAACTCCTTACCCCTAGCCATTCGCAGGTGCGCAATAGGATGCCTGCAAGTGTGAATGGCTCGGAGAAAGGAGCTGTGGCAGATAAAAGGTATTCCAGTCTTCCTTACTGCGAGCAGCAGGGAAATGTGGGGCGTGGCTATGCAGATATGCTACATAGCCCCGCCCATCACTAGGTCTTATGGGGGTAGGGCTTATATTTAATAAATGCGTAGAAATCCTGCTAGAGCCTATTTTTTGGTTAAGTCTTATTTGGGGGGAAACACGGTAGGGAACAATTGAAAAACTTATGCCTGGGCTCTACCCCATTATTCTGATTTGTTTTGGGGTGCAGCTTTTGCCCTTTTTAAAAAAAGTCTTAAGTTTAAAAACAAAACAAACTCCCAGGTGATTACATTGAGCAGCCAGCAATAGAACCTGACTTAAGTTTAAAAACAAAACAAACTCCCAGG